CTCTAACTCTTTATCTTTTAAAGCCAACTCTTTTTCTTCAAAAGATTTCTCTTCACGAAGTAACACATCAGCTAACAGACTCTCCTCAAACACATTTTCGTTGATAAAGTGTACTATAACTTTATCTCTTAGCACTTGTGACTTTTGAGTAACAGAGAAATCTAAATTCAACTCTTTCACTACACCAATAAAATCCGTTCTACTAAGTTTCTCCACCTCTTCTACTGTAGGTTTCAATAAAAAGGCCTCCATTATCAAACTACTTTTTCACAAACAAAACAACTCACTAGGTTAACACAGCACAAGGATCTGCTATGAACTCGACCTAGAACACAACACGACTGACCTCCTTACCTAGATAACTAGATAACGCAACTCTAGCCTTGGTGTTCCCACACGGCTCTACTGGGCTAAGCAAAAACTGCCTAGATCTAAACCTAGTGTCAAAACCAAAAACTCGAACAACAAATTAAATCCGGAAGGGCCCTCACTTATTACGTTCGCCAGCTCTATATCTGTTAGAGTGGTGTTCGTAATAAGTGGTGGAGCAGCGGGGTACATTCGCTTCTTTGGGAATATCCCCAAAAATGGAGGGAAAGGTATCAATCAACTGTGACAATTTTTGGCTTTCATCTGTGGACAGATGTACAAGGTGGTCACCTAAATGGGCCAAAAACGAGGAATTTAACAATTTTGGGGGCTTTAGTTTATCATGAAAACATCATCAGAATCATTGTACACATATAGGTAAAGTAACCTGAGCTGTGGAATGAAAATTAGTACTATCTTCAAAGTACTTCTTTAGTGAGTTAACATGATACACTTTCTGTTTCTTCCTTCGGTCTGGAGTATTGACAACATAGTTCAAATCATTCAATCTGGAATGAACCGTAAAGGGTCCACAATACCGTAAGGATAGGGCATTATTGAGGTTCGGCACTAGAACAAGAACCTTCTCGCCAGGATTGAATGTTCTTTTTCGAGAATTTTTGTCATACAGTCCCTTCATCACCACTTGGGCTTTTCCTAAGTTCTTATGGGCTAACTCCCACACTGCCTTCAACCGGACGTGAAAATCGTCAAAGTTCTCCACTGGATGGTTTCTGGTTCCTGTCCAACGCTCGTGGATCAGCTTCAGGGGACCTCGGACAGTGTGACCGAAAACAAGCTGAAAAGGTGAGTACCCTAGAGATTCCTGGACACAGTCTCTAGCGGCGAAGATAATCCATGGAACAGCTTCATCCCACTGGGTATTACTCCTGACGAAAGTTCTCAGCATGGTTTTTAGGGTCTGGTGAAACCTCTCAAGAGCACCTTGAGATTGAGGGTGGTACGCTGAGCTGGTGACGTGGGTAATGCCTAGCTTGGCTAGCGCTTCTTGAAAATGATGGCTGGTAAAGTTGCTGCCTTGGTCGGTTTGCACAATTCTAGGTAAACCGAAAGTAGTGAAGAACCGGGTCATGGCTCTGACTACGGTCTTTGCCTTAATGTTCCGCAGTGGGAACGCCTCAGGAAAACGGGTACTTGAACACATAATGGTGAGTAGGTACTCGTTGCCCGCTTTGGTTTTTGGCAAAGGGCAGACACAGTCCATGATGATTTTGGTAAAGGGTTCTTCTAACACGTGAATCGGATTCAAAGGGGCCTTAGGAATTTTCTGATTGGGTTTCCCGGCCAACTGACAGTTCGTGCAACTTTTGCAGTAACGCGACACATCATTTCTCATTCTTGGCCAAAAAAAAACAGTTCTCTGATCTTTGCAGTCGTTTTCGTGATTCCTGGATGCGCTGACATCGGGTTGTCATGGGCCAGTTTCAGGATTTCCTGCCGATAAGGTGGAGGGATCCACAGTTGGTTTTTTCCCAACCATGGTTCGGCAGGTGAGGCAGTCACTGGTAAAACACGACGGAAGATCAGGTCGTTCTCTGTGAAAAACTCTCCATCGTCATCCGAGATGGATTTCTCGATTGGAGTTCTGCGTCGTCTTGTTGAGCCTTGACGATGTCATCATGAGAAATCCTCAGAGGTAATTCCATTGGTGGACCCTCTAGAGGTATTTGTTCCAGTTTGGGAGCTGGATTTCTTGACGATGATGATTTGTGTGGATCAGGCGCTGAATCAGACAACCGTTTGGTCTGGCTTCTTGTCACCACACTGGCAGGATATAGCTCATCTTCCTCATCTGGAACTGTTGATAACGGGTTTTGAACCTTCTGGGGGTATACTTTGCTTCCCGCCAAGTCATTCCCTAGGAGCAGGTGCACTCCTGGAACAGGGATACTTTCGATCACCCCTAAGGTGACCTCTCCTTCGACGAGTTGATGTTTCAGGTGTAACTTGTGCACTGGGACAACAGTGGGTTCTGCCCCCACTCCTTGAATAATGGTAACATTCCCGGTGTTCGTCTCCGGTGTAATGTCCATTGAGCCCTTCATTAGAAGTGACTGTGAAGCCCCTGTGTCTCTTAGGACAATTTTGTTCCGCTTGGACAACGGATCACCAGGGATGCTAATGACAGCCTCTGCCAGGAACGATGAGAAGCGAACCTTTCTCGATCCCTCGAGATCGGTTGCCTCGGAAGAAACTGGAGGGTGGAGTGGACAGTCAAAAGACGACTGAACGTAGGAGGTGGAAACTAGATTCCTTTCCTGTGGACACTTAGGGATAGTGTCATTCTGAAGAGTGGAGTTCAAATTTGAACTGGCTGCCTGATGGAGAAGAGCGTTATGCGCGGATTTAAGCACAACCTCTCTGTTGACTTGATGCCGCTTATAACAGTCTTTTAGGAAGTGACCAGGCTTCTTACAGTATTGGCATACTGCTCGTTGACTGGGAGTGGTTCTGGACTTCTGTATTGACTGGAACGACTTCGGAGATTGGCCAACAAACTATAATTTAGTTTTGCCGATTTTCTAAATTTTAAAATGTTAGATGTATTTTAAAGGCATTATCATTCTTATTTTCAAAAACACTATATGGTATAAAATTATTCCAATTAACATTTACAACAATCAAATATGTTGGTTAGATATCCGCATCAGTAATAATTTATTATCATCAGAGTTTAAAATGTGCACTAATCGATATACCTATCCTTACCATTTCCACGAGTTGTAAGTAATAAAAACATTAATTGTCTACATTTTTTAAATTCTGCCTCATCAGCAAAATGAGTCATTAAATTTAGACATAAAATTACACTTTATTCTTATTATAAACATAATTTTGAAAATTCGAAATAATATATAATCACCATTATGTTTATTAAACACAAGTAGACAGGGTTTATATTATAATTTTCAAGTGGGTGAAAATAATTTCAATTAACATCAGGTCATGTTCAATTACTGCTGACTGGGGTATATTATGCTGGCTAGAAGGAAGTTTCATTGTTGAAAACAACGTCAAAACAAATTAATATATTTTACGTTGTTTTCTCATGAATAATTTAAGGCCAGTATTGAATTTTGATAACGACAAAACTAGTTTCTGTAGCAAGCAGAATATGCGTGTCTTATTAGTTATATAGACAGATGTTACACAACAGAAATTGCCACATTCAAATAACAAACAACGCCTACGTAATATTTTTAAAGAGGAACGTTTGGTTTTGTCAAAAGGGAATAGTATTGAAACGTCTATGTAATCATGCTAAATTTTAAAAAGTCTTTTGAAAAATATGGCAATAAATAAAATTTCAGATGTTTTTAAAAAACTTAAAGCAGTTTGGGAACCATCATTTACACTCATTTTCATATTTTTGTAGTGAATATAAGCCGTTGAAAAGCCATCTTGAATTATTTTTTCATGACAAAATACACAATAGTAGTCAATAGCCTAGTATTGTATTAATATTAAATAATATAACAACCCCTATCACCACAACACCCCGACTCTAATAATCCACAAACAAAAGTATGTTATAAATTACTATAGCATTATTAGTATTTTTTTTGTTTGACTATTTCTTACCTTAATAAAACCGTAAGTAACTTTGTATTTTAAAAAGTATACTTTCTGGCAACAAACCTTTGGAACCAGCTTTTCAAGCCTATTGTTTGCATTTGCTCCTTATGGAGTTGAAAAAGAGAAATAGAGGAAGCTGAACTCGTAAAATAACTATTTGTTCTATTTTAAAAACTAAACCTATATTTTTGGCAGGTATTTATAAACAGGTACAAAGCACATAATTTGCGACAAAAAAACGCGTTGAAAACTCATTTTGACCTATTAGAATGAAGTTGTTTTTCTTCTTAGCTTTTCCTTAATTTTCAATTTTTATTATTTTCTTGGGTCTACGCTAAAGTCCCGAAAAATACTTGTCCAGATGCCGTTTGCGAAAAACACTAAAAAGGACAATTTTCCAAATGCGACAAATGCCCGAATGGACACTGCAGCATGGTGTAGTTTCTTGTCACGTACAAGCTCAGCATAAATAATTTTGGCTTCAATGTAAGAATAATCATAGGATAAAAGAAAGAAATTATTATAGAGTAGAATCACTATTGTTTATTGAACAGAATGACACATGATCATTTGTTCAAATTGTAAAAGATCGTGGCATTTAACTGTGAATAAAAAAAAAGTAATTTTAAATGTTTTAAACAAAGAAAATTGTATTCCCGCTTCAAACATCTTTCCATTTCATTGGCTCTTTGAGTTGTGTCTTACTGTTGAAAAAAAACATTATTAAAATAAAACTGCCTCAGAAGCTGTTTCTTTGTCATGAGAAAAATGTCGATTTCTTAATTGCATATACATTTCAGCTACAATGGGGACCACCATTATATTATAATACATATTCGGTGAGTGGATTCTTAAGTTTGAATGGGTATTCACTAAACACAGAGAGATGTAAATATCAATGCTATCGAGAACTTGAAAATGCGGGAAATTTTATGAAACAAAAAAACTCAAGAGGTAGTTACAGTTAAAAATATATGTATTGGTCCTGCACAACTAGTATCAAAAACGTATATATTGCCAAAAACGATATTGGTATTGTGCTTACTTGCGTGCTCACTCTGAAGGAAACGGTACGTCTTAAATGTAACACTTGATGTAGAGGCTTTCTTTAATTTTCTAATTTTTTCTTTGTTTAAGTGTGATTACATTCAATAATTATAAGCGATGTTAACTATTTTAATTATCTCAATGCAAATAAATATTCATAAATGCCCACTTTATAAATGTATTTTCAAAACAGATATTTTAAATCTTGAGCCAAATTCGCCGATGTGTACAACGCAGCTTTTGTCGTAGACATTCTAACGCTATGATAATAAACAGCAACTGAAAAAATAGTCCATACAATATTCTGTTCTGTTCTGTTCTATTCTGTTCTGTTCTGTTCTGTTCTGTTCTGTTCTGTTCTGTTCTGTTCCGTTCTGTTCTATTCTGTTCTGAACGAGTGTAGTTGAGAGCTGGAACAGTACTTAGTTTTGCCTGCTCTTATAATGTTATGAGAACAATTTTCGTAGAACCTGCTTAAGTAGTCTTTTATTTATATGTTTTCAGTTGTGTCCTAATTGAAAGGACACGTTCAAGTTCTACAATGGTCGGATTTAGAATTGTGGCGTTAATCTTAGCAACAGTGCTATGTGGCACAAATGCAGGTATGAAAATAATATTTGCTGTCTACATACTTTATTTATATTTTCAAAAATAAAAATAAAATAATTGAAGCATTACAAATAAATGTTTTAGTCGATTATTAGAAACGGGTTGAGCCAATCATTTCAGTAGGTATATGTATTTGAAAAATAAAAACTATAATGGCCTTCAATCAATTCCAGTGTTTTAACTTAATAGATTTGTTTAATCTGTGCGTAATGCCCTTAATGAACGATGTGGTATTAACTTAAATGTAATGTCCAGGCGATCCGATGCAGACCTATAGGTGCCCTTCCAATACGGTAGTCGACACCTTCTTTGTGCTGGCTCCTACTGGAGGCTACCAGAGCGACAGTTGGAAGAAAGTGTTCCAGTTTACCACTGACGTCATCAAGCAGTTCCGACTGGGACCAGGCAATGCCAGGTTTGGAGTGGCGACCAACAGGAACAATTTCATCAGGCTGCTTGACCTCTGGAACATACCCAACGCTACCACCATTGAAAGGGTACGCGTGTTTCTTATCAAGTGTCATATATAATGTGTATTGATATTTCGTTTGAAATCAACAAATCGTAATGACTATTAATAAAGAACCACTATTACGTACTAAGAAAATAGTTGACCATCCTTCCGACATAGTCACTCTACAAGTAAATTATACTATCACCTACCCAATAAATGTACCAATATTATGAAAAATCATTAAAAAGAGGAAATTATTTAAATCACTATATCACACTGACAAGCTGCAGTTATACTTCCATTGGCGTTTTATGCATTTATTAATATTTACTGGAAACGAGGCAGGCATTATTATTTACTGCAAGCTAGGTATAACACAATATCTATTTTTCTTCTAGAGTAAATGTTTATTTTTATTTAAAATCATTAAATAAAACTGTATGATTTTTATATTTTTTAAACATAAATGTATTTTTTATACACCCGCAGGTCCTCAAGCCCAGGTTAGACCTGAATGTTAACAATTTTACCACCAAAGCTTTAGGAGCGTTGAATGTTAAAAGCATGTTTGGTACCAAGATAAAAAACCGCGCATTTGCAAGGCAAAATGTCGTCCTAATTACAGACTTAAAGCTATCGGCTCTAAAACAAAGTGAGCGTTTAACATAATCAATACCTTAATGTTATAAAATAATATATATATATTACTTAAAGTTTTATCGTATAGCTTTAACTAATCATAAATAATTTGATGAACATTTACATTTTACATCTATGAATTGAGCACTTTTTAACCCGATCATGTTTTACATTCTTACCCCAGCGCTAAAACAGGCTGAGGCCATCAAGAAAAAAGGCAAAAAAATTACAGCCATTTGGATCGGGGACTATTTTACCGAGGACGACTACAAGATCACGTCTCCAGCTTTTAACGCTGTGCTGACTATCTATTCATTTGATCAACTTGCTGAACTACTGAACAACATCGTCCACAGCCTCTGTGCAGGTAGGGGCTTTGTTGGCAAAATAAGGGCTTTCATCAGCGATTTTCCTTTGTTTTCATTTATCTTTACTATGTTTAAGAACTATTTGAGGATAATTCAACCATATGCTAAACTTGCAGGCATTTGCTATCATAAAAGTATATTTTAAATAATTAAAATAACATAAATATTTATCTTAGATACATCTATTAAACTTCAAATATTACTCAATCATTTACACTATTATTGATTTATTAGCACAATATTTATATCTAACAGTGTTAACAAAGGCAGTTCCTGTAAAGTGGTTATTATTCAAGACATTAAAATGTTTTATTTTAGATCCCCCGCCATCCGATTTCCCACCAATAGCAGTAGCTGAGAACAGAACTTCACCAGGTTATTACCGCTGTTTATACCTTCACACCAATTGATATAAATAATGTATACGTATACGTATATGTATATATATATATATATATATATATATATATATATATATATATATATATATATATATATATATATATATTTATTTATTTATATATATATATATATATATCATATTACATATTATATATGTATATATTTATGTGTATATATATATATATATAAATATATATAAATATATATATATATATATATATATATATATATATATATATATATATATATATATATATATATATATATATATATACATATATATATATATATATATATATATATATATATATATATATATATATATATATATATATATATATATATATATATACCTGCTACACAATTAATTAATGCTATTTTTATTTTTTTATTTATTATTTCTAGCAGTGACTGCAGAACCAAGGGTTGAAGAAGTTACGTTTCTACCTTACCCAGGGCTTACATGTACGCTAAATTAATAGTCTTCATGTCTTTCTGTCTGTCTGTCAGTACGTCCGTCCGAGTATTCGAGAAGGATTATGATGATTCACTCCTTCTTAAATTAATTAAAGTAATGCATTGCTTTTTAACACAATACCGGGCTTGACATTATAAAACACATTACTTTTGTCTTAACTGATTGTTTCAAAAACATGTAAAAACATTTGGAAAACAAACTGATCATTTAGCATTTTATTTTGAAGTTATTTTTATTAATTCTTGAAGTCATTTTTTTTTTAAAGTTGAATATTTTTAATGAAAAATGAAGTCAAAAAAGATTATATATTTTTTGTCGTTTGACCATTTTTAAGATTTTCAGTTAAAAATTGATATTTTGTGAGTAATTATTAATTGCAATAACATCTTGCAATAGTATACAATCCTTGAAAATCTTAAGGGGTAGGTTCCGGGAATAAAAACAGAAACAACACGTCTTAATTAATAATCATTTTTTTTTACTTATTTGTCTTGACCTGAGCTAGGGTACTCAAGGTAAAGTATTTGCATGCATCAGGGTCTCTTTTGAACATACGGTTGTCATGACAACGCCACCTTCTTAAAAAATTGGTTGAGGTCCCAAAAAGGCTAAGAAATTGAGAGATTTATTGTTCCCGAAGTCTAACCACTTAAATGTAAAGTTAGAGTGGAATATAAAAGATGCATTAATTCAATGTACGCGCATAAAGCATGTACATGCTGATTTTATCTTTAGAATTATCGTAGCTCAAACTGTGTTTGTATGTCGTGAAAGCTTTAAAAATATTGTTTTATTTTTCCGTAGACCCAACACCCGGACCTGGCCCAAGACTTAACTGTAGGGACGGGGTAGGTGCAGACGTCTACTTCCTCCTGGACTCGTCTAAAACTGTCGGACCCTACAACTGGTACCGACTGACGGAGCAAGTGACAGCATTCGCCAGCTACTTCCCTATTGGTCCCTCCTACTACAGGTTCGGTGCAGCTTCGTTCAGCGACAACGTCAAGAAACTCTTTGATCTGAAGGACGTAGATGGAATGGAAGCCCTGATGCAGGTGGGTCGAATAATCACTCGCTGACAATGAACCTTTATCTCGCATTTACCACTGTCATTTCGACTGTTTTAGATTAATCTCCAACCAATTGAATAATCCGTTTTCGATAATTCCCATTAAACCTTTTACTGCAAATTGCGAAATTTGGCGTTAATGTAGAATGTCTGAAAGTAAGAAATGAATAATTTGTATTTCTTTATCTAGGCAGTATACATAATATATAACCAGGGCAAGTAAAATAATAGTTTTCTCTTCAGAAAATGTCCCAACACTAAAACCTTAACATTTTCTTAGAATTTGGTCTCATTTTCATTTCATCCTACTTTTTAAAAAATACTTTGATGTTTAACGCTTTATACTTGTATTATATGTGGTTATTTTTTAAATTTAAATTTCTCTCTTAAAATTCTATGCTATATTGAAATAAGGAACTCGTTGCCTAGAAGAGTGCGTGTTGTTCAAACGCCTGTGGGGGGTGAATGATGTAATACTTCATTGATTTTTGTGAATGGTTGAGCGAGGAAGGGGGGGGGGGGGTGTAATATTCAAAAAGTGGAAACTAATGGTGATCATTGTTCCGCTTCTGATTAAAGGGCAGTAATGCTATAAACATTACGTATGTTTTTTTTTGTATTAAAATGTTTAAAATGCCCACAAATCGTTATTGAAAACAATTTAAATTGACAACACTGGAACACACGAACAAATACTTGTCATTAACTTCCTCTGAAGCTTGTGACAAGAAAAAAACTGTTAGTTTGAGACTGCTAAATGAGTTTACAATGAGGATATTGTCATCTTGATAATCAGCGCCAGACAAAAACAACATAATATATTTTATTTTTACTTAGAAAACCCTGCAAGCCCAATTTTTAGACGGTGCAACCGAAACTGGGAAAGCTTTGGAATTTATCGGCCTGAACGACGTTTTTGGCTACTACTCAGGGGGTCGCGCTAATGCCAGGGATGTCGTCATCCTGTT